GCCAATCTTACTTACACCCCACATTCTACCTTGAGAGTTAGCAAAGAGTACTTGGGTAGCCTCGCAAGCAAAGATAAATAGGTTGTATTTTAATATATTCTACATCACTTTACTTCTGTGATACCATAAAGAGGATGCACGCTAATTCCTCCATTTTGCACTAGCTCAAATCAATCATAACTTGAAAGATACACATTGTTTCCTTCATTAGGATATTCTAACTGTAGTACTTCCTTTAAGACCCCATATTTATCACAATTATCACCTGTAAGATTAGATTTGGTTTGAAAATTATAACCATTGAAAATAAAAATTGGCCAATATTTTACTGCTCTAATAGGCCCCCAAGCAAGATTCATTAGTCATTGCTCTTGCAAATCTTTATCTTCTTAATAAACTTGCTTGGTATAGAAAGTGTAGATATATTATTATCATTTTCACTAATTTAATTAATTGCATATAAGGTTGAAGTGACATGTCAAAATATATATCATTTCTTTGAACCAATCTAAAAATTCAAATTCCACCTCTTTTCATGCTCTAATATTGATGTTATAGTAAGACCATTAATGAATGTCCTGCAAAAGTTTTGAATTTAGGGTCTATATGTATGATTCTATCAAATTTACAAAATCTTAACTTAAGTTGACTTAACATATGGCGCAACTTCAGTATAATTAAGCAATGTGTACAAAGAGGCAACTATCATATCCTTATCTATCAAATAGCACATAGTACAAGCATTTACTACCTCGCCACATCTGTTGAATATAAATATGTTACTAGTAAATGAACATACATTTGGATTATCCAAATTTTGAGGTACAATATTACTTGTTGATTATTACTCTATGTCAAAATAGTATGAGCAAATTGAGTAGTCTCATACATCAAGCAACGGTGGATGTAAGCGGGGTCCCGTGGGGGCATGTGCCCCCTCCACGAAAAAAAAAATCCTATTTTGGCTGTCTGTTTCAGTGCTTACCCTAAATTTTTAGCTTAAAGCTCTCTCTTCTTGTGAGTCGCGGCGCATAGGCACTCGTATTCGTAGTGTTGGCGTCCCCCTTGTCCCTTGCCTCCGCCAATTATTCCGTTCGGTGTCCATCCCTCATTCGATTGGGATTTTAAGGGTGTGTTCTAGCAAAGTTCTGTTGCAGGTTCCACACCCTGGGCATATTAATTAACTTTTTTTTACTTTAATAACATATTTTCCCTAATTGCACCTTCAAGATGACCTCAACCTCGCTAGGTATTATTTTGTGTGAAGGACCGAAATTTGTACATAGGGTTGGAGGTCGATCTCGTCGTCGGCAAACTTCTTGCTTCGGTTCTCTAATTTGTCACTGGTAAACGGCTTTCAGCTGCAAAATAATCAGCAAAGTTAAGGTTCATGCGATTTTTCTCCTTTTGATTTTAAGCATGTAGAGTACCGTAAAAGGTTGTCTTGCTTTTTATTAACTATAGTTATGGCCAACTGTTGTATTTGATTCAAGTTTAACTATATCATTTTTTGTTCTATGCTTGGTAAATTTGTCCTTATGTTAGTTTGAGTTTACAAATTGCATTTGTCCTTATGCTAGTTTGAGTTTACAAATTGCATAAACTTACTTTGCCATTGGTTGAGATCTGAATAGAGTGTTTTTTGTATTATACAAATTTCAGATTTGGAGAAGTTAGAAGCAAAGTTTTTTTCGATTGCGAACATGTTTTCTCAAATCAATTTCGATTAATTGAAGTATTTTCCATTGGTTTGCTGAATATGTTGTTTACATTCACAACTCATTCGTTTGTTCAGATTTTGTTTTATTATTTTTTAATTTATAAGTTTGATGAGTTAATTTTAAGTTTTGTTTGTAAGTTTTGCTGAGTTTGCTGCTTCCTTTTCAAATTTTTTAGTTAATAAATTTAGTGCTTCATCTTATATTTAGTACTTTGCTTTTTAAACAAAAATTTTTAAAACTACCAATGCTGGTACCAAACCCGGATGAAAAAAGTTGAGGGGATTTAAAAAAAAAATTAGGCCCCCTCTCTATGAAAAATTTCTGGCTCTGCCACTGACATCAAGTATGTTTCACATATTAATCATTCGGGATGTACTTTATTCTTTACAATCTTCTTAATTTATTTAAGTACCTGAATCATATATGGTTATTATTTTAAAACTTACTTATAATATTTGATATGCTATATTTATACAAAATTACCTCTCAAAAGGATACATCCTCTAATAATGAATAAGTCTACCAACTCTAGCCTCATATGGTAAATGCACTGGTAGATGCTCCATGGAATTGAAAAACCCTGGAGGGAATATGTTCTCAAGATTACATAAAATGAAAGGAATGTAATGCCCAATATGGAACAATGCTTCTTTAGTATGTCTTGACGAGCATGAGTCCTTGAAGAAGATACTTAGTTCGATCAAGGGATTTAAGATTAAATCTGGAAGAGAAATGAAAGTAATAGGCAACAAACATTCAATAAATATGTATTAGTTATGAACTTTCAATCCAAATAACCTCCACAATCTCATGTCAACACATCCACTGAGGTTGGAAGCATATCCATCAGGTAGCTTTAGTCTCTGCACAAATTTACAAATTGCTCTCCTCTGCTCTAAAGTGAAGGTAAATAGAGCTTTTGGCTTTAAAAGTTTATCATTTCAACCTTCCTTAAACTCAAGCATTTTCCTCCTACAAATATCCTTCAAATCCATCTTTCATTATCTTAATATTCTCCCTTATGATACATCACTGTTTTGAACACATTATCAAAAATATTCTTCTATATATGTATCACATCCATATTATATATAATCAAGTTTGTTCTATATATCGAAAGATCAAAAAGTACTCTTCTTTGTCTAATTGTGAGTAACTCCATACTCAATCACTTTGTGAATAACTAATGATGAAGAATCAATTATTGTGGGTATAAAATTTACTCTTTTAAATATTTCCTCAATACTTAACCTTGGTGGAGTTTGTGTTGTCTCCACTCTATTTTTAGTGAAAGCATCCTAATTTTGCATGAATGGATGGTTTGCAAGTAAGAACATTCGGTGACAGTAAAATAAATTATTTTTTTCCTCCATGCTTCAAAGTGAATGATTTAAATTTTTCCATGCAATATGGACAAGCTAACTTGCATGGATTGCTCCAACCAAAAAGCATACTGCATGCAAAAAATCACAAAATATCTAAAGTAATGATGCCCTTAATATAAAATTTATTTGATGGAGATATCATATGTGGTAACTCCTTCATTCCACAATAAATTTATGTCATGGATTAAAAGTTGCATGAGCACATCTATCTTGGTCTTTGGATTATGTGGGCTAGGAATAATAAGTGTAAGAAATATATATGGTGTAATCATATACAACTTTGGAGGAAGATTATTGGTGGTGAGTATCACAAGCTAGTATGAGTAAGGTGATAAAGATTTATAAAATAAAGTAAAATCATTTTCACATAAATCTAATCTTACATTTTTTGGTTCTACGATCAAGATGGGATGTGTATAGTAAAAGTGTTTTCAGACTTTTGCTTCTGATGGATGTGTTACAACACCTACTTGTGAGCTGTATTTCTAATGTCATCTCATATATGCAGCAGAGCTCATATATGCATTTAAACGTTTCAATCTGGGAATGATGGGTAACTAGAATAATCGATTGACTAGCATATCCAACTACTTTTTTTTTTCCCCAGAATTTGGTTTAAACCTTGGCGTGTTTATAGCTATCAAACTAAGTTTGAGAACCAATTTTTTAGTCAGGCATAAATTTGTTGGAATTATATTATATGCCGGGTTGATTTCCTTAAGTAAGCCAATAAAATTATTAAAACATTTTTTGGGTACATTGTATTTTATTTTTATGCTTAACATCTTCATAACTACAAATAAATATGAGTGAGTAGTGCACCCATTCCAAATTAGTTGTTGCACAACATGCAACAAATTATAGAAGTTTTTTGTCTGCTTATTCCGGGATTCTGCTATAAATTATTGAAATTGTGGCCTAGTTACATCATAAATCAAGTCATCAAATATCCTAACTCTATATTCCTCAACTATGAGGAAACTTGTAGATGGGCCACACCGAGAGTTAAAATAAGGCTCGTACTTACCATGAAGTCCAATACCAATATTCTGACATGAATCCTCTCTGATATAGATCAACAATAATCTCATATGGTGTAAGGTAGGCTTGATTTTTTTGTTTGCAACATGGACAACGAAACCTAACCTCTGATATTAATGAAGTTAATTGACAGCTTGTTTGAATTAAATAATTCACTCTGTTCAAAAATTCATCTATTAATATCTTACGTCTAGGCAACATTTGGTTATATATCCCTATTGGTAAATCCTAAGAACGGTTGTTCAAAGGAAAACAAAAGGTATTTAAAATGCAAAAAGATGCAACCTAGCTAATGTGGCGTGAGAGAGAAGCTATAATTAAGTCAATTATAATGGCAAATGTTCACTACCTTCATAATTAATTTTTTTTACTCTTTTTCATTTATAAGAATAGTGTCATTGCTAGGATAAATTATAGTTATTCAAATAATAGCACTGAATGGTTTCATAATGATGCAATCCTTATTATTTTGATTGTTATATCTATATGTTATAACTGTTAATTCATTATTTATTGTAGCCATACTATGTTTAGTTATATCTCCTGCATTTGCCTTTTTTTAATCTGATCCACTTAAGCAATTGCATTGCATTTTATTGTATATACCTCAATTAAATCCTTTTCGAATTTTATTCAAATTTTATTTGAATCCCCTAGAAATCTTTCTCAAATTTTGATAAAATTTTATTTGAAGTTTATTCTATAGGGGATGACTAAGGTCAATGAGGTTGGGATAAATTTCAAAATCTTCTCAAATGTGTTTCAAACATTAATAGAACTTTGTTGGTGAATTAAAATAATATCTATTTACCCGGCCTTTAAATATGTACTTTAAATTATATTGTTCATTTATTAAATCCAAATTTCTTGCGAACACCCCCGAAATCACAGCAGTGGCGGTCACTTTGAATGAGCGGACAAGGAATCGGCTTCGGCTTCTTCGTGGAATTGGAATCGCTGGCCGGCACTACTTTTCCAAACTGAAATCATTCAATGTAGTTGAAACCTATTTCCCCAATTATTTATTTGCGTTCACGCTTTTCATCCTCTTTCTTTTGATATGGTATCAATTGTTATTCGAGCGTTGCCGTAGATGGATTCTTCTTCTTCATCTGTGGCGAAGCGCTACTGCTACAACCCAAACCTTCGCTGGAATCCGCAGGTGGAGGAGTACTTTATCAAGGCATACGGAGCTGACCACTTCACTCGAATTTCAGAAGCCCTAACGTATGTTTCTTTCACCATATTATCTCTTTCCTTTGTTCAATTTCGATTAGCGTATTCGCAGTTTCCTTTTCGTTATGCTTAAAACTTGGGTTTGGAAGTTCTCTTCTTTTCGTTGCAAGCAGAAGTAATTTGAACCATTGAAAAGTTGGATATTTTGTGAATGTGAAGGATAAATGGTGTAGAGATGCTGCCGAGGTTTAAGCAGCATAGCCTATGGTGACAGGCGATTCTTCCATGTTTTTTTTTTTTTGCAGTATGTGCGTGTTTGTAACAATGCCTGGTCTTGGAAACTAAGTGGTCGTCATTGTTTCTCTATGCTCATTCTCTTTTTATCTTAAGGAATTTCTTACCACAGCCGAAAGGCGAGAAAAAGTTCCACAGGGTCCTATTTGGTATGCGACAATATGCAATAAGCATGCACATGAAAACATCGAATGATCACTAACTTGTTGTTTTCTGAGGGTTTAAAGTAAAATTCAAAAATTGCTCGTTTGATTCTTTTTATGCTATTAATTCTTCATTTTGTTCAGGCGTCCATCCTGTTACTCTTGCATTCGAGTTAACATTCTCAAGTCTACAAATGAAGCTGTTATTGAGAAGCTAACAAGACTTCTTCAAGGTGGAACTGTAGATGATTTGCATTGTTTGAGCATAGGGAAGCAAGTTTCTGCGAGCACTGCCGGAGATGTTGGTTTGAGGGAAGAAAGTATAGATTGTATGTTTAACCTTTTGCTGGAGGAAACACCTAAGAACGGGAGAAAACCTATGAAATTGTTTAAAGACCCTTCAATTTGTCAGTGTCGGTACGCTGGACTCGATCATGTCTTGTTTGTCAAAGGTTCGGGTCCACATAGCATTCATTATGGAAATCAACCAGATCAATCAGTGAAGGAAGTCATTGTTAGTCGAAAATGTGCTGAGGCTGTTCTTCGAGGAGCCCAGGTACATTTTGATGCTTTTTAGCTTTTTTCATTTACGGTGGTGCATGGCCCTTGAAGTTTCTATTTCTTAAGCTCTGTGTTAATTATATGTTTGTAGTATGAGTTTTACTTGATCTCCTTCATTTTCTTTAATATTTCATATGTTCTCACATTTTTTGTCTCGGGAATTTTCATTATCAAGAACCCTAATTAGACTGTACATGCAATGAGTGCATGCAACTCAGTAGATATATATATTTTATAAAAACTGTCTTATTTGAAAACATGCCAAACAAAGCAAACTTAAGAAGAAGGAAAAAAAAAGCTAATAAAGTTAAGAAAGCATCAAATCATGCAATTCAATTATAGATAAGTGCTAAACTGTCGAAATCCAGCACTCTGAATTCTCACATACCTTTTGCTATTTTGTATTGTGATGGATGAGCTGTCTTGTTGCTTGCATCAATCTAATTCTCCCTTTTTGGGCCTCAGCAAAATGGTTGCTCCCTTAACTATCTGCTCTATGCAGATGATGTGCTTGTGTTTGGAGCTGCCTCCCCCGCAAATGCAACCTGCTTATCCAACACCCTATCACTTTTTGCTAATGTTTCAGGTCTATCCATTAACCCCTCCAAGAGCTCCATCATCTTCTCTAGAAATTTGTTGTATCCTGACGTGATCTATGATATTCTGGGCATCTCTCATGTGAGCTCTTATCTCAAGTACTTGGGGATTCCTATCTCTCCCTCTCGACTTAATTTTACTCAGTTCCAACCACTAGTGAGTAAAATCCTTACTCTACTTGATGGTTTGAAAGTTAAGTTTCTCTCTTTTGCAGGAAGAATTCAATTTCTAAAATTCACTATTGCCAACACAATTGCTTATTGGATCAGAGGATCCATCATACCTAAGGCGTGCTGTAAAGTTATATAAAGGCTTTGCTCTAGGTTTTTATTCCACGGCCGTATCTCTGAAAGGAAACTCCACTTGATCTCATGGTGCAAGTCTGCTAAACCCAAGTAGTTGGGTGGCCTTGACATTCCCTATATTGAAGCTCTTTATCATGCCAGTTTTTACTCTTTTTTATGGAGGTTTTATACCTTAGATAATTTGGCCATCTTCTGGTTTAAATCCAAATATTTATCCCCTTGGAAGCAACATTCGACCAATGCTTCAAAATTTTGGAAGCTACTATGTTCTTCTGCCCAGACTTTTAAGAGCTCGATTTCTCTGGTTGTTACTTATAACTGTAGTTTTTCTATGGTTTGGGACCCTTAGTGTAACGGTAAATCTCTTCATGAACTTTATCCTTCTATTAGGCTTGATTTGCCCTATGTCAAATGCTATCTCAACAAAAACAGTTGGCTCTCTCTATTTCTCTTCCCGATCAGCCTCGCACTGCTTTCTCCGGCATTCCCATTTGTGAGCAACCGACATTGTCTTGGGATGACTTACAAAACCCTTCTTTCTCTATTTTTTCTTCTCAATTCTATGGTAATTTGGAGGTGGTTAGTTGGCACAAATTTATCTGGCATAAACATCATTCTCTCAGATTTTCTTCCTATACTTGGATGGTTGTTTTAGGCCAGTTGAAAAGTGCAGATTTACTTCTTTAGAGATCTATTGATATCAATCTGGCTTGTCCGTTTTGTCAAAATGCCCCAGAAACTCATTTGCATCTTTTCTTCGAATGTTATTTTTCTTTTTCTGTCATCTTCAAGATGTTGCCTTTGCTGGATTGTATCCTCTTGAGGCCGACACTGCTTCAGATGTTTGATTTCTTAAATGGTGTACATGGTTTTTCCAGTTGGGATAAAGATTTCTGTTTTTTCATTATTTGTTGCTCTGTTTATCATTTATGGAAGGAAAAGAATTATTGTCGCTTTGATAATTCTTGGAATAATCCTACCAGGATCTATTTTACCATTCAACAATCTATCCTTGATGCAGGCAAACTAGAAAGAAAGAGCCAATATAGGAGAACACTATGACAAGTAGAACAAAACTTGAATCAATCTAGAATGCAGACATCCAAACAAATACCAAAACAAAGGAAACCCGAACAAACGAACAAAATAAAAAAAAACACTATCCTCAGAACAACCGACAAGCTATTTCCTCACATGCAATGAAAAGTAGGTAAAATTAGATAAGTGCTTAAGGGCTTGCAAACCAAGGGTCCACCACAGCTACAAGGTCCAACATCCAGCAATGCTCCTCCAACAAATGTCACCAAATCAGCTAACAAACATCTCAAGTAGCTCAAGAAGAAGGATACAAGTGGAGTGGAACTTGCATATAGAAGAAGAGATTAGAAGCCCAAGACGAAATAGGGATGAAGAGAGAAATGGAACAAGTTCTCAAGCTTTTCCAAAGGAAGAAGAAACCCTCAGGTTGTATAGAGACTTTGCTCAAATATTCAACAACCTCCTGAAGTCAAAAACATCTCCACTTTATAAGAGAAAAGGGGGCAGCCAAACAACCAATCAACCTCCAAGTGAACCAATCAGGTAAGGGGAAATGGAAGGCCATCAAACATTTCAGAACATCACCTGAAAAGGCCACACAAGGAACCGAGTAAAGCACATCAAACATTTCAGAACATCACCTGAAAAGGCCATACAGGGAATCGAGTAAAGCAGCCACGGGACAAGCAACCAGGGGAGAAACCGAAGGGGCAGCACAGGAGACTGAAACCAGCACCCAACAAGGGAGAAAGAACCAACCACGGGAAACAACATTAGGAAGAAGCCGAGGGGACACAAAGAAGAGGAAAAGGCAAAGATCCAACTCCAATTAATAAGCTAACAAGAGGAATACCTTTTTATAATAATGAGCTAAACATTAGCTCAAGCATTTATGAGCTAGAACTAAGTAGCATCCAAAGAACATAGCCCAAACCCGAGCAGCCAAGGCCCAACCCGAGAGGCAACCAGCAGTCCAAAGATCAAAATAACCCAAGTAGCTAGCACACTCAAGGTTTGCCTTGTCCAAGCACTACCTACTAGATCATTGGATGTTTTCCATCATAGGATAACATAAAAAAACTAAAAAAAATTATAATATTTAAATTACAATAGAAATGAAAATAAATTGAAATTTACATGCATCAATTCCTCCCTGGTGGGAGAATCTCATCTCCCGATGAGAAGGCTTCAACAACTTTTTGAAAAAGATCCGGATGATGATTTTTCAGCTCAATAGTATTCATCCATGTACAGTCTATCAATGGACGATTGCTTCATTTAACCAGGAACCTTTTGTGCTCGTCATGTCTAGTCTTAGTAATCCTGACATCAATAACATCTTCAATTTGATCATCACTATTTAGAATTGATGTGGAAAGTGATAAAGTTTCAGCTTCTACAGAATGATCAGAATTTCCTTCTTACAGAGAAAGGTCAGAAACATTAAATACAGGAGAAGTGCCCAACCGTATTAGGAAGATCCAAGAGATAGGCATTCGTGCCCAATTTTCGTAGAATATGAAAACGCCCAAATTTCTTCTTGCTTAATTTACCAAAAGTACCAACAGGAAATCATTGGCGATGGAAGTAAGCCATAACTAAATCACCCTCCTTAAAATAAACTTTCGTCCAATGTTTGTCAGCAGCAGATTTGTATTTAACATTAGTCATTCTGAGTTTTTCAAGAGCTTGTTGTTAGATAGATTTGATATGATTAAAAGTTTCTATGACTTCAGCACTAACCTTATTAGGTAAAGGCAAACAATTTCTATCTAAAATGTGAGGTATAGACTGACCATAAATAATCTCAAAGCTAGTTTTACCAGTGGAACTATTAATAGAATTATTATATGCAAACTCAGCTTGGATTAATTTCAAATCCCATTGGGATGATTTCTCACCAGCAAGGCATCTCAGTAAATTTCTTAAGCTTTGATTGACAGACTCAGTTTGTCCATCTGTTTGTGGATGATATGCACTACTAAACTGAAGAGTAGTTCCTAATTTTGCCAGAGTATTCTCCAAAAGTGACTCAAAAATCTAGTATCCCTATCAGAAGTAAATGTTCGAGGAATATCATGGAGACAAACAATTTCTTTAAAAAATAAATCAGCAATATATGAAGTATCAGAAGTTTTCTTGCATGGAATTAAGTGTGCCATTTTGTTAAATTGGTCAATAACAACAAAGACAATCATATTTGCTTGCAGTAACATGCAACTCTAAAATAAAATCCATAGAGATATCTTCCAAAGGTTTATTTAGAATTGGAAGAGGAGTATACAAACCAATGTTTTGAGAAATTCCCTTGTAAGCTTGACAAATTTTACATTGTTTGACCAGATTAGCAATTTGCTTTCTCATATGAGGCCAGAAATATTTTTCTTCCACTAAGGCAACATTTTTCCTTGACCAAAATGTCCACCCACACCCCCCCACTATGAAGTTATTGCACAAACTGTTCTCTTAAATTTTTTTTTTATAATGCAAAGTCTAGAACCCTTAAACAAAAAACCTTGATGAATGACAAATTGAGCAGAATTATCTGTTCCATAAGTGAGACAAAATTCTCAAATACTCTTCAAATCTGGATCATTCGCATAAATGTCTTTTAAGAAATCGAAAGAAGTTATGGTTGGATAAACAGTTACCAACAGATGAGACCTCCTACTTAAAGCATCAACCACTTTGTTTAGCACACCAATTTTATGCTTAATATGAAAAGAGTATTCTTGTAAAAAAGAAGCCCATTTGACATGTCTTTTGTTCATATTTTTTTGAGAGCCCAAAAATCGCAAAGCTTCATGTTCAGTGTTTAAACTCATTTGTGTTAAGAAACAGTTCAGGAGTGTTTGTTTTTGCAACTTTGATATTTTTGGCATGCGAGTCAGACATATGTTTTTGAGGATAAAGAGTGAATTCTTTATTATTTTGAATCAAAGTGTAGGTATTATTTTCCCCGTTATGAATGGTTTTGTGATCGAATTGCCAAGGAAGACCTAATAAGATGTGATAAACTTCAAGAAGTACAACATCGCAAACCACTTGATCTTTG